GAGGAAATATCTCAGAGCATAGTAATGGAGAGACTTATAAGTCATGACATTGAATGCTCCGGTTTCAGAAAAACTTGGAAATATAAGTGTGAATTTGAGAAGCGGCATGGAAATCAGGAGAGGCATTTCAGGCAAGTGGCAAGTCTTAAGGAAATCTATGCTATGAAAAGAGACAATGACTATAATAATTCTGAAAGAAGTGTTATCTTGAAGTCAGTACTTTTAACGCAACAAAGAGTTCCCACAGTACAGCCAGTACATCAATTTGATATTTATGATCAAATGTTCCCCCAAAATTCAGTCCCAATGGAGCACAAAAGACGTGCTGAGAAGGAATCTTTAATAGGTAATGAATATGAAAAATTTAACCAGAGTTCATACCTTAGTAAAGCTAGAGGAATTCCTCCTGGGGAAAAACATTATGAAAGTAATGATTTTTCAAATCTCTTAAGTTTCCACTCATTATTTACTCAACGTCAAACAACACATTTTGGAAAATTACCCAATGAATGTCGTGATGCCTTTAGCTGTTACTCATTCTTTACTCAACCTCAGATAATTCACAGTGCAGAGAAACCTCATGCATGCAATGACTGTGGAAAAGCCTTTAACCATGACTTCTTTCTCAGTGAACATCAGAGAACTGATATTGGAGAGAAAACATATGAATGTAAGGAATGTAACAAAGCCTTTAGACAGAGTGCACATCTTGCTCAACATCAGAGAATCCACACTGGAGAAAAACCCTTTACATGCAATGAATGTGGAAAGGCCTTTAGTCGTTTTGCCTTCCTTGTTGAACATCAAAGAATTCACACAGGAGAGAAACCATATGAATGTAAGGAATGTAACAAAGCCTTCAGACAGAGTGCACATCTTAATCAACATCAGAGAATTCACACTGGAGAGAAACCCTATGAATGTAATCAGTGTGGAAAAGCCTTCAGCAGACGCATAGCCCTTACTCTGCATCAAAGAATTCATACAGGAGAGAAACCCTTTAAATGTAATGAATGTGGGAAGACCTTTGGCTATCGCTCACACCTTAATCAACATCATAGAATTCATACTGGAGAGAAGCCCTATGAGTGCATCAAATGTGGGAAGTTTTTCCGAACTGATTCACAACTTAATCGACATCATAGAATTCATACTGGAGAGAGACCTTTTGAATGCAGTAAATGTGGGAAAGCCTTTAGTGATGCTTTAGTTCTAATTCATCATAAGAGAAGTCATGCAGGAGAGAAACCCTATAAATGTAACAAATGTGGGAAGGCCTTCAGTTGTGGCTCATACCTTAATCAACATCAGAGAGTTCATACTGGGGAGAAACCCTTTGAATGCAATGAATGTGGGAAAGCTTTCCATCAGATCTTGTCCCTTAGGCTACACCAGAGGATTCATGTTGGAGAAAAACCCTATAACTGTTAATGAATGTGGGAATGATTTTAGCTGTGCCTTAGCCCTTAGACAGCATCAATAAATTCATAATTAAACTCTCTGATTATAACAAATACTAGAGGCGTGGTGCATGAATTTGTGCACCAGCGGGTCCCTCGGCCTGGCCTGCGGGATTGGGCTGAAACCAGCTCTCCGACACCCGTCGAGGGGTCCCGGATTGCGAGAGGGTTCAGGCCAAGCCAAGGGACCCCATCAGTGCACGATCAGGGCCAGGGAGGGATGCGGGAGGTTGGCCAGCCAGGGAGGGACCGCGGGAGGGCTCCAGGGCATGTCTGGCCTGTCTCATTCAGTCCCGATCAGATGGACCCCAGCAGCAGGCTAACCTATGTGTCAGAGTGTCTGCCCTCTGGTGGTCAGTGCACGCCATAGCAATTGGTCAACCAGTCGACTGCCCCCTGGTGGTCAGTGCATGTCATAGCAAGTGATAGAGTGGCCTTAGCATATCATCAGCATATTATGCTTTGATTGGTTGAACGGCCGATCCCGGCCAGACATGTAGCATATTAGGCTTTTATTATATAGGATCAGAAAGAGAACCATTAGTCACCACTAAGTCCTTATTAAACAAATATCAGTAAGTTATTTGGTTGGTAATTCTATGAATGTAGTACATATGGAAAAGTTTCAGCTCATGAGCATCCTTTATTTGAAATAGCCTGAGTAGTAGATATGTTACTTTGTGATATATTACTATGCCTTGAGACTTTTCTCCCCATAAATGCATATGATTCTGGTGCCATTATTAATCAGTGAGAGCAGTGTATTGGTCATAAGCTGACCAGTTATTATTTTCCTCAACCTAGCAATTAAGGGATTGGCAAATAGCCCTGTCTAGATCAATAGAGCCAGAGGGTAAGTATTATTATGGGTAGTAAAAGAAATTGCAAAATTTCAAGGATTTAGTAAGGTTACAAACTCATCAGCAGTTTTCTTTGCCATTACATGAGAAAAGCTTTTCCAAGACAAACAACACAGAGAAAGTGGAGCTGAGAGACAGCAATGTGATGACATTGTTTGATCTCTTGGATCCAGTCATGTCCAGCCATCTTTCACTTTTTCATTTTTGTGATCCAATACATTTTTTTCCTTTTTTTTTTTCTTTAGTTAATTTGAATTGGATTTTTGTCTTTTGGAATTAGAGTCCTGACTCATATATTGTATGTTTGCTACTTATGTAAGAAAGCCTTGATTTAAAAAAAATATATTTTTTTATTGATTTCAGAGAGAAAGGGAGAGGGGGAGCGAGAGATAGAAATATCAATGATGAGAGAGAATCATTGATCAGCTGCCTCCTGCACGCCCCCTACTGGGGATCAAGTCTGCAACCTGGGCATGTGCTCTGACTGGGAATCAAACTGTGAACTCCTGGTTCATAGATTGGTGCTCAACCACTGAGTCACACTGGCTGGGTTTGATTTTTTTATATTGCATAATTATTTATCCTAAGGAGAAACTCTGATATAACAAATATATCAAAGTTGAATACATAGCATTCATAAAACTGAGAGAATTATTTCATTTTATTAGTTGATAAAAATTAATTTTGTATTATTCTGTTTCAAAATAGGGATGAATTTTTTTTTTTACCAGTGCAGTTTGTTTATTTTTATATTTACAGGCAAAGGATTATAACAGGATACTTCTTAGTTAAATTTACTTATAATGTTGTAGAATTACTTTTCTTAAGGCAAAGCTGATGCAAGGAAACTATTTTTTTTAAAATAAAGTAATACAATGTCAATACACACAACAACATGGAAAATCTCATTATGCTAAATGAAAGAAGTCAAATACAAAGATTGCCTGCACTATGGTTTCATTTAGGGGAAATTATTGAAAAGGCAAAAAATTCACCTAGTGACACTCTTTATTAGGCTTTTGTATAAGGAATTAAAAACATTTGTGACAGTGACTCACCATGGGCCTTCAAAGAAAGAATGACTAGCTAAGAGAATAATGGATCCATTGGTTTAATGAATGACTCTTTTTTTTTTTTTTTTTTGAGGGGAAAAATACCAAAATTTATTTTCCAACAGTCAGCATCAGCAGGTAAAACTACAAGGTTTTCTCCGTAGATCATACATTCACAAGGCATAACAGTGAGAAAGCCTCTGTCATGTCCTCTGTAACAATATCCACTTCACAGTGTAAACAGGTTCTAGTATTGTGTTCATTTACAATTTCAGAAGGAAAGGCACAACTTGGCAAAATAATATATATATTTTTTATCCTGAAGTCAGGTGCAATAACTCAGAGACCATCTTTTGATACATGTTTTGATGTACATTTCCACATTGAGGGGCAAGACTCAGAAACCAGGGTCTTTCCTTCTTCTTCCTCATTAAACCATCAGAGCAAAGTTTCAGCATTTGCTTATTATAAATGCAAGAAACGGATTAAAAAATCACAAAACATCTTGAAGGTCCAGCCGCTCCCACCAATACATCAACTCTTAGGTTTAAGACAGGGACTGGGAACACTTTCAGCGGTCATAAAATAGGAAAAGAGAGACTAAAGCTACAAAAATAAAAAATAAATGAGGTAGATAAAGCTTTCATACCCAGGACTCGTCTGTTCCAACGTTGTAACCTTCATGCAGTACTCATGGGGGAAAAGAATCTTCACAATTACTTGGCATGAGTCACATCAAAATTTTTATAAAAATTAGTATGTGAACCTCTTATCAGAAACATGCCCTCCATGAGTTTCTTCAATAATGAAAGACTCATTTCTTCGCTAGAGTAGGCACTGGTGAACTAAATCAAGTCACCTGAGGTCCCCTGCTCAGGTGCCCACCTGTCGTGGTGTTCAGGAAGGCGGCATCTGGAAGCAGGGAAGACATTGGCACTCTTAGGGCTCCAACTGAACTGTATTTCAACAAGCAGCAACACACACATTGACTCCCGAGGGACTAAGATCATCCATTGGAGGGCATCCTACTCACGGTCCCAAGGTGGAAGGAATTTTGTAACTCCACACCTTAGTTAATAATAAAAAGGAAAGTACATTCAAAAGGAAACAAAACAAAAGATGGGTGCAGGGTTGAGGGACATACAAAGCAGGTCAGCAAGGATGACAGACCTACTCCATTTACCCGCACACAGTCCCGGAAGTATGCAGCTCCCCCTCCCCAGTTAGGCTAAGCAGTTTCTTTCCCATCATGGTTTAGTAAGTTCCAACTTGAAACAGGGGACAATCTTTGGAAATAGTTTCTCTAGCTTGTACAAAGTCTTCATATATACAGTTTGTCTCAAGTAACAAAGCCACTTTGCAAGACCCGCTTCTTCCAAAATTAAAAAAATATATACTAGTCTGTATTTGTTTTAGTATGTGTGTGGTTTTGTTTTTTAGCAAAGCAGCATAGCAACATTGTGATTGTTGGACGTGCCTGAGGTTGTGGTCACAACTGTAAACATTTGCACATCAGTGAAAAAACAAACAGGAGGAGATTGGTTTTTAAACAACAACAACGACAAAAACAAAAGATCCAGTTCAAGCGGTCACTTTGCATTTCTCCTTTACACGGGCTCTCCCATCGCTTAGCTGACCGCAATCTTGTTTTCCTCCAGGAAGTGAGGGAACTGGTGTTTGGGAACACTGTCAGCAGCACCCGGCTTTTCCACGTCGCTGCTAACCGACTGGGAGCCATCGATCTTGGAGACGATGGTATTGCTGACAACGGAGCTGGCACCCAAGGACACCGGGAGAGTTGGGGTGCCTCCGCTCTGGATCACCGAGATCTCGTTGGTCTTCATGGCCAGACCACCGTTGAGCATGGTGGTGTACTGGTTCCACACAACAGGGTCCATGTTCACTGAAGGGGCCATGATTTCCTTGGGAAACACCTCTGGGACCCTCTTTGTGTCTGTTCCTAGAAGAGCCATGGTGTTCTCCATGGCCAGCTTCCTCCCGCGGCGCGCGGAGCTGTTATTGGCACCATGCGTCATATAGTGAACCTTCAAGTTGCCTTTGGTGGTGAAAGCTTGCCCACATATGTTACACACGATGTTGTAATGTACCCCACGAATCACAGAAGGATGCCTCAAGAAGTCGAATTAAAGAGTCACGTTTATTGCAATCCGGGACTATGAGGGGTCATTCCCAAATCTAATAGTAATAAGATGGTGGCAAAACCAGACTTATATAGGCAAAAATCACAAAGGTATTGATTACATCCCAGGGTTTGGAATGAGGACCCTGGTTTGCACAAAGCAGTTACAGAAGCGAGATTGAGCTGATTAGTTATCTACAAAGAATATTTATAGTTTTGGGTCTTTGGACCACTGAGTTGACAGAAACACATTATTTAGAGCCCTCGGGTCTTGGGACCACTGAGTTGACAGAAACACATTATCTAGAGCCCTCGGGTCTTGGGGCCACTGAGTTGACAGGGAAACATTATCTGGAACCCTCAGGTCTTGGGATAATTGTGCTGTCCTGGTTCCCAGGTACAGAGGAATTTGCTTTCTAAAACCAGTAAGATCACAATCAATGGGATAGTCACATTACAATCAATGAGGCGTTCAATCGAATGGGATGATTTATACAATTCAGAAAATCAAAATAACCTGTCCATTGTTAAACAAAGCAAATAGGTACCATACTTCAACGAAAGGCCTCTCCCCAGTGTGAGTCCGCTCATGAATCTGGAGGGCACTGGCTGACGAGAAGTTCTTCCCGCACCGCGTGCAGGCGTGCGGCTTGTCCTGGCGGCCTGGCTGGGCCGCCAGCAAAGGTGCCATGCCTGGGGACATGGTCTCGCGTCCAAATGCACCAGGAACTTCCACTTTGACATAGGTTGGCTGGGCTCGGACAAATGCTGCTCCGACACTTGTGCCTGTAGAGGGTGGCCTCGTCTTTGGGTTTGACATCCACCGGGGACACGTTGGGTGGCTTCCCTTCCCCTTTCTTAGACGGGTCTAACGCCACCGTGGAGAAAGGGCTCTGGAAGAGCACAGAGCTTGGGGTCGGGGGTAGCAAAGCACCGGGGATGCGGTTTGGGAGCACCCTTGTCCCATCCGGCCACAGGGCGAAGGACAGCAGCCCCGGGGACACCGAGCTGGTGGTGGAAGGGATGCTTGTGTGAGGTAGCTTGGCTTGTTTCAAGGTGTCCAGGGACAGACCTTGGCTTTCAGCTTTCTGGCTGAGCAAAGCCACGGCTGCAGAGACCTGCTGGGACACGTGGCTGCCTAAAGTCTTCAGGGTGTCCGCTCCCGCTGCACCGGAGTGGAGGGCATGGGCGGTCCACATGTTCACCTGGACTCGGATCTGCTCGGTGAGTTGGATCTGCTGTAGCTGAGGACAGATGGGTGTTTAGTGCAATTTTTCTTAAGTTCTAAGAACTCAGAGACGCTGAAGAACTCTCCGGAGCATTTCTCACAGATGTGAGTCTCCTCCTACGAGGCCTCTACTGCCGCTAGGTCCCCATTCATGTCATCACCAGTCCCCGGGTAGTTCACTGAAGCACCCGGCTCCCCCACCACCGGCGCCGCTGCGGCCACGAACCCCGGGGCCGGCTGGGGCGGCGGCTGTGCGCCGTGGTCCTCCTCCGGGTGGATGTGCTGGGGCTTCGCCTGCTTGCGCCTCGACTTGGTGAGAGCATGGGGGCGCCGGCAGCGCCACAGCGACTCGCCCGCTCCACCGCCAGTTTCCGGCGTGGGGAAATTTACCCCCCTCTAATGAATGACTCTTCATCTTATAGGAATTATTTGATATTCTGCTTTCAGTGTGGGTTTAAACCTATTTTGTGATAGAATATAATAAGACAGAATTGCAAATGAAGTCTTTTATGAGTGGGTTGTAAACTTCCTTTAAGAAATTTATAGAGTCCCAGCAATCGAAACCTGAGAAACACTACAGTACAGAAGACTGGGATCTTAAGCCAGACAAAGGAACACTTCACTTTTTCATTTTTATTTAAAAAAATTTTTTTATTACTTTGTTATCTCTTTTTTTTCTTTTTCTTTGTTTTCCTGTTTTTGCTTGTTGCTTTATTTTCTATTTCTTTTCACATTATTTTTCCATCACTCTATTTTATTTTATTTTTATTTGCTATTTTATACCATTTTTGAAATCAATTTTTTGTAAATTTATTATTATTATTTTTCTCATTCTCTTTCCTCTTATCCACCCATCCCCTTTCTACTTCCTCTATACTGAACTGAGATCCTCCCATATTCATCCAACTCTTAACCTTATCTTCTATATATAAGCTCAGCATCTACAGATTCTGCCCCCAACCTCTTTGCTGGGGGTTTGGTGTTTGTATTTTATTTCTATTTTTTATTTATTTATTTATTTATTTATTTATTATTGTTTGTTTGTTTTGTTTATTTGTTTATGTATCGGTTCTGTGGTGTTTCCAGCCCTATATATATATATAATCTCCTTTTCTCCCTTTTTCTATCTCTCTCTTATCTTTTTTGCTCTCTTCAATATCATTTATACTCTCTTTTCTCGCCCCTAAGTCTTTTTTCTCAAGTGGTCACTTATAGTGGGGTTATTATTGTCGTGAGTACATTCGTGCTTTGGTCCCTTTGTGTTGTGTCTTGTCGAGGTGAATTTTATCCTGTCTGGCCAGGTGCTAGAGAGTGAGCCTCATAACCAGACACCTGGAGAGGAAACTCCATCCACAAACGGGTCAATAACACTCCAGACCCAACTACAGAGGCAGGAAGAAGGCGGCAGTGAGGGAGAGAGCATGAGTCAGTGAGGGACCAAAAGAGGAGTGTGTGGTCATGTGGGATGTGTGTGTGTGTATGTGAGTGAGGCACAGATAGATCCCGCAGGACCTTCGGGGTCAGGCTAAATGGGCTCGCCTAACTAGGCAGCCTCTGCTATCATGTAAGCAGTTCCAAGAGGTCGGCTCGTCCTCAGAAGCCTAGCGTTTTTAAGGGGAGAGCTGCTGTAACTGGGAGCCAGGCCTCACCCCCACCCAGGGTGCCCTCAGATAACACCTGGGACTCTACAGACACCCCTGTCAGGGACCTGCTACCTCGGCTGTGGTCCCATGGTCAACAAGTCTCCAGCCACCCTGGGCGCAGGCTCCTGTGAGTTCTGAAGCGTGTTCCCCTCTGACCGGCCCAATGCCTTAGCCTGGGGCACTGCAATCACGCAAGCAGCAGACATGTGAGCAGCCCTCTCCTGTCCAAGGAGCAGCAGCCCTGTGAGCAGCCTACCCCAGGCCTAAAAGCAGAAGCGTCACGTGGCCTGCCCCTGTCCAAGGAGCAGAAGCTGTCAGCTGTGTGAGTGGCCTGCTCCCTTGTCCAAGGAGCAGCAACCACGTGAGCAGCCTGCCCCATCTGAGGAGCGGCAGCCCCACGCAGCCCACCCCCATCCGAGGAGCAGCAGCTGCGCAGCCCACACCCTCCTCCTGTCTGAGGAGCAGTAGGTGTGTGAGAAACCTGCCCCCATCCAAGGAGCAGCAGCTGCATGAGCAGCCTGCCCCCATATGAGGAGCAGCAGTGGTGTGAGCAGCCCATACCCATATGAGGAACAGCATCGCCACAAGCAGCCCGCTCTCATTCAAGGAGCAGTAGCCACCCAAGCAGCCTCCCCCAGTCCAAGGAGCAGCAGCCACACAAGCAGAGCATCTATGTCTGAGGAGCGGCAGCCCTGTGCAGTCCACACTGGTCCGAGGAGCAGCAGACACTCGCAGCCTGCACCGGTCTGACGAGCAGCAGCTGGGTAAGCAGCCTGCCCCCATCTGAGGAGCAGCAGACACACGTGTGGCTCGTTCCCACCTGAAGAGAAGCAGCCACACAAGCAGCCCATCCCCCATCTGAGGAGCAGCAGCCACGTGAGCAGACAGCCCCCGTACAAGGAGCAGCAGCCTCACGTGCAGCTCACTTCAGCCTGAGGAGCAGAAGCCCAGTGAGCAGCTCGCCCCTGTTCGAGGAGTAGCAGCCACATGAACAGACAGATGTACCACATCTGAGGAGCAGCAGCCCTGCACCACCCACACTGGTCCAAGGAGCAGCAGCCACACGCAGTCTGCACCTGTCTGACGAGCAGCAGCTGGGTGAGCATCCTGCCCAAATCTGAGGAACAGCAGCCGCATGGGCAGTTCACTCCGGCCTGAGGAGCAGCAGCCACACAAGCATCCCGCCCCCCATCTGAGGAGCAGCAGCTGCACAAACAGCCCATACCCATATGAGAAGCAGTAGCCATGTAAGCAACCTGCCCCTGTCCAAAGAGCGGCAGCCTCATGAGCAGCCCATCCCATCTGAGGAACAGCAGCAGCGTGCAGCCAGCCCTGATCCAAGGAGCAGCAACCATGTGAGCAGCCCATGCCCATCCGAGGAGCAGAAGCCAAGTGAACAGCCCACCCCTGTCCAAGGAACAGCAGCTGTGCAAGCCGCCTCACCTACCAGCCAGAGGAGACACCACTGCTGCGAACAGCACCCACCAGAGGAGCCGCTGCCAACTGAGGAGCAACCACTACTGCGACCACTTGAGGAGCAACTGCAGCCTGAGGAACCACTGCCACCCAAGGAGCAGCCCCTGCACGAATCAACATCTAGAACAGTCGGTGAGACCAAACATGGGTAGACAAAGAAACCCTCAAAGGAAAGAAAAAGAGGAGCGCCAGAAAAGCTGCTAAGTGAAACAGAGGCATGCAATATGTTAGAAAAAGAATTCAGAATAAGGGTCCTAGAGTGCATAAACTGGATGGAGGGAAAAAAAATCAACAACTTGTGTAAGAATCAAGAAGAAATGAAGAGTGACATAGCTGCAATAAAAAACACCATGGAAAGTTTCAATAGTAGACTAGGAGAAGTGGAGGACTGAATTAGCGAATTAGAAGACAGGGAAGCAAAACACACCCAAACTGAATGGCAATTGGAGAAAAAAATTAAAAGACAGGAGTAGACCTAAGGGAGCTATGGGACAACATGAAACAAAGCAACATACGAATAATAGAGGAGCCAGAACAACAGGAAGAGGAACAAGGGTTAGAAAATCTATTTGAAGAAATAATGTCAGAAAACTTCCCTGCAGTGGGGATAAAAAAAGTCACACAAGCACAGAGAGTCCCAAACAAGATGAAACCAAAGAGACCCATGCCAAAACAGATCATAATTACCATGGCAAATGTTCAAGACAAAGAGAGAATCTTAAAGGCTGCAAGAGAGAATCGGAAAGTTATATACAAGGGATCTCCCATTAGATTATCAAATGATTTCTCAACAGAAACACATCAGGCCAGAAAAGAATGGATGGAAATTTACAAAGTGATGCAAAGCAAAGGACTGAATCCAAGAATACTCTATCCATCAAGGCTATCATTCAAAATTGAAGGGGAAATAAGAAGCCTCACAGACAAAAAAAAAGGCTAAGGGAGTTTATCACCACCAAGCCAGCAATGCAAGAAATGCTAAAGAGACTGGTGTAAAAAAAGAAATAAAAAGCTAAGGAAGAAAACAGGCACAAAAAATAAAAATGGCTACAAACAAGTACCTCTCAATAATAACTTTAAACGTAAATGGACTAAATGCTACAATCAAAGGACATCGAGTGACTGAATGGATAAAAAAAACACACCCATATTTTGCTGTCTACAAGAGACCCACCTCAGAATAAGGGACTCACACAGATTGAAAGTGAAGGGATGGAAAAATATCTTTCAGGCAAATGGAAATGAAAAAAAAGCTGGGGTAGTAATACTTATATCTGATAAAATAGACTCAAAGTGAAGGCCATAACAAGAGATAGGGAAGGCCACTTCATCATACTAAAGGGATCAATACAACAAGAAGATATAACCCTGATAAACATATCTGCACCCAGTGTAGGAGCACCCAAATATATAAAAATACTCCTGAAAGATATCAATGGAGAGATCGACAACAATACAATCATAGTAGAGGACATTAATACACCACTGACATCACTGGATAAATCCTCTAGACAAAATCAGCAAAGAAACAGCAATCCTAAATGATTCACTAGATCAGATGGACTAATTGACATATTTACAACATTTCACCCCAAAGCCACAGAATATACGTTCTTCTCAAGTGCACATGGGACATTTTCAAAAATAGACCACATATTGGGTCACAAGCAAAGTCTCCCCAAATTCAAGAAGATTGAAATCATACGAAGTATCTTCTCAGACCACAATGGCATAATATTAGAAATAAACTACAATAAAAACAATCCCAAACACTCAAACACTTGGAAGCTGAAGAGCATGTTATTAAATATTGATTGGGTTACCAATGAGATCAAAGAAGAAATTTAAAAAATCCTGGAAACTAATTACAATGAAAACACAACAATCCAAAACCTATGGGACACAATGAAAGCAGTCCTGAGAGGGAAGTTTATGGCTCTACAGGCCTACATCAAAAAACAAGAAAAAATGGTAGTAAATCATCTAACTCTACAACTCAAAGAATTAGAAAGAGAGCAACAAGAAAAGCCCAGAGTGAGCAGAAGGAAAGAGATAATAAAGATCAGAGCAGAAATAAATGACATAGAGACTAAAACAAAAAACAAAAAACAATACATAAGATCAATGAAACCAAGAGCTGGTTCTTTGAAAGGATAAACAAGATTGATGAACCTCTAGCCAGGCTCACCAAGAAGCAAAGAGAGAGGACCCAAATAAGCAAAATCAGAAATGATAGAGGCGAAATAAGAACAGACCCCACAGAAATACAAATGATTGTTAAAAAATACTATGAACAACTCTACTCCAACAAACTAGACTACCTGGAGGAAATGGACATATTCCTAGAAAAATACAACCTTCCAAAACTCAATCAGGAAGAATCTAAAAATCTCAATAGGCCAATAACTATGGAAGAAATTGAAGCAGTCATCAAAAAACTTCCAGCAAACAAAAGCCCAGGGCCAGATGGCTTCACAGGGGAGTTTTACCAAACATTCAAGGAAGACCTAAAACCTATCCACCTCAGACTTTTCAAAAAAATTCAAGAGGAAGGAACAGTTCCAAGCTCATTCTATGAAGCCAGCATCACCCTAATACCAAAATCAGATAAAGGCAACACAATGAAAGAGAATTACAGGCCAGTATTCTTCATGAACATAGATGCCAAAATCCTCATGAAAACCTTAGCAAATAGGATCCAGCACTATATCAGAAAGATTATACACCATGACCAAGTAGGATTTATCCCAGGGATGCAAGGATGGTACAATATCCGCAAATCAATAAACGTGATACATCACATAAACAAATTGAGAGGGAAAAACCACATAGTCATATCAATTGATGAAGAAAAAGCATTTGACAAAATACAACACCCATTTTTGATAAAAACTCTCAGCAAGTGCCCTAACCGGTTTGGCTCAGTGGATAGAGCGTCGGCCTGTGGACTGAAGGGTCCCAGGTTCGATTCCGGTCAAGGGCATGTACCTTGGCTGGGGCACATTCCCAGTAGGGGGCGTGCAGGAGGCAGCTGGTCGTTGTTTCTCGCTCATCGATATTTCTAACTGTCTATTCCTCTCCCTTCCTCTCTGTAAAAAATCAATAAAATATATTAAAACAAAAAAAAACCTCTCAGCAAGGTGGGAATAGGAGGATCATATCTCAACACAATAAAAGCCATATATGACAAACCCACAGCCAACATCATACTCAATGGGCAAAAACTAAAACCATTTCCCTTAAGAACAGGAACAAGACAGGGATGTCCCCTTTCACCACTCCTGTTCGACATAGTACTGGAAGTATTAGCCATTGCGATTAGACAAGAAGAAGAAATAAAATGCATCCAAATTGGAAAAGAAGAAGTAAAACTGTCCTTATTTGCAGATGACATGATATTGTACATAAAAAAACCCTAAAAACTCCATCAAAAAACTATTAGACTTAACAAATGAATTCGGCAATGTAACAAGATACAAAATTAACGCCAAGAAACTATGGCATTTCTATACACCAATAGTGAACTTGCAGAAAGAGAGACTAAAAAAACAATCCCATTTACCATCGCACCAAAAAAATTAAGCTACCTAGGAATAAACTTAACTAAGGAGGTAAAAGACCTCTACTCAGAAAACTACAGGACGTTGAAAAAAGAGATAGAGGAAGACATAAACAAATGGAAGAACATACTATGTTCTTGGATGGGAAGAATCAACATCATTAAAATGTCCATACTACCCAAAACAATCTATAAATTCAACGCACTTCCCATTAAAATACCAACGGCATATTTCACAGACCTAGAACGAACTCTCCAAAAATTCATCTGGAATAAAAAAGACCCCAAATAGCTGCAGCGATCTTGAGAAAGAAGAACAAAGTAGGTGGGATCTCAATACCAGATATCAAGCTGTATTACAAAGCCACTGTTCTCAAAACTGCCTGGTACTGGCACAAGAACAGACATATTGATCAATAGAATAGAATATAGAACCCAGAAATCGACCCAAACCAATATGCTCAATTAATATTTGACAAAGGAGGCAAGAACATACAATGGAGTCAAGATAGTCTCTTCAATAAATGGTATTGGGAAAATTGGA